CACAGTTAATAAAATAAGATGGTTTGGCTAGCTGGACACACCCCCAAAATATGTTATTGTTCTCGACTATTGAGGTCACGTGACGCTTTTAGTGCATCAGCGATAAACAATGAATGCTTTACAATATGAGCGGCGACCCACTTCTACGCCGAAAACCTTCGAATTAACTTCTTTTTCTAGCGAATTTTGGAAAAATCTCAGTAGCTACGCTACGCCGGGTGCCAACTGTGCAAAGTATGGCTGTTCGACAAGTCGAAAGAGTGGTCTTTCGTTATTTAAGTTACCTTGACCTAGAGTGGATAATTGACAAGAGACGAAAGCTTCGAAGGAGATTGCGCGTAAAGAATGGCTACATGGATACTAAGAACAAGGGAAATGACTCCCGAACTGAAGCAGAAAATCGAGAAAAATAAGATTTTCCTATGTGAGCGTCATTTCAAAGAAGAATTGACATCTGATTGTAAGTACGGACTTTTTATCTTTGCGCGAAATATTGTAATTGCTCGGCCTTTGTCTTATTGTGTATAATCAATATGGTTGAAATATTTGCGGTTTATATATTGAATGTATCTTAAATAACTGTGAATACTAGTCTAGTAATTGAATTTTTGCCCTTTTGTAGACTGAAAGAGGAAATTGTTAGAAACAGGAGCTGTTCCAACTGAAAATCTGCCGTTAAACAGCCATGAAACCAAGCCAAGCATACGTTGGGTCCTTGATTCAAAGACAACAAGAAGCTGGCACCCGTGGAGAAAAAAGAAACGTTTGAAGAGTTTTGTTAAAATGTTAAGGGAGTTTCGCTTGATCCTTGGAGTATCACAGCATGTACCGATGATGAAATGGGAATTGAACTTCGGGACAGCGATATTCAATTCACAAATTTGTGCTCATTATAGATTCATGTTTACATTTTTGTTCACAAAATTTATTCAAGCCATTGATGACGGATGAACCCTGCTGAAATTGCTGAACTTTTGCTGTCTCTTCAAAGGGGGGAATTCAAGATATGCAAAGGTTTACGACAGAAAGAATACCTAAACTCCTTACAAAGGATGCTATAATCTATATATCGCTATATATAACATATTGCTAGGTTAAATTTGTATCTTGTACACAAAACAGTCAAATAGCTTCTTATTGAACTAAAAATAAATTGATCAGCCCAGGCCAGGCTTAGGCTCGCAGTGTAAACACGGCTCTAGTATATTTAGGCCCAGGGGTATGGAGTGTAGGGTGTTAATTATTGGCTATGTTAAAAGTATTTTTGGAATGGTGGACAATCACATAAATTATATCAATTGCTATGCACTTTGTTAAGGCATTGAAATTATCATTATAAATATTTTTTAATTTATTTAATTGTATGTACAAAAAGTATGTTTATCTAAGGATCATAAAGCCAAATTAACTTTTTTCCCTATAAACTGTCTTAATAGAATCCCTACAACCTCTAGTAGTTTGACCAAATCATTACATGGTGTAGTCAGACCTCCTTGACTATTTGAAGCCGTCATCATTTGCTTTGTTTTAGGACTTTTTCTTCAGATTTGACAACACATACCATGCTATGTAATCATGCTTTGTAATATGGTTTGAAGCTCGTCATTCTTTCTTTTGACAAATTTCCTCTTCAGATCTTATAACACATAACCTGCTATATAGAATCAACTGTGATAGGATAGACGCCCACGTTCATGTTCATTGAGTTCTGATGAGACATCAGTCTCACTGCCACTGGAAGTAGAGTGCTGTTGTTGACCAGTAACACACCCCTTGAACAACGACACTAAATAGTCTGGCATGGATATCATTACAAAACTACATATTTGTTGGTTTTTACATTGTAATATGCCAGACGACTCTGGAATTAGTTCATAGAATTCCATTAAAAATTTGTCTTGGTTTCGTTTGCGACAAAATCGTTCATAAATTGGCTGTATATGGTTTTATAGAGAATCGATCGATGATATACTCGCCATATTTGCAGTCATTTCATGGTCCCAAAAACCATCCTTCGTTATTTTTGCCTTTATTTTTTCTACAATTGAGGATAGCTCTTCTTTTGTAAGTTTAGCTACTGATGAAGGCACGTTCTTGTCTCCATGTGCGGTTTTGTTCTTGTGTTTTGCGTTTATATGTCTAGTCAACCCTCCCTTTGACTTACAAATCTTCTCGCAGCTATTGCAAGGGAACGATTTTTCGCCAGATATTTCGCTTATAGCATCATCAATCTCTTCTTCCATCAGGTCTTCATTTCCTTCGACTACAGACAAAGCGATGTGAAAGTTAAACGGCAAAATATCTTCACCTTTCAGCAAACCCACACTCCTCGCCAACCAAACTCGAAGTACATTCGCCTTCTATTTCTTCTGGAATCGACACAATTGCCTCCAAATCGTCGTCCATTACCCTTACTTAGTTATACTTTAGTATCACAGAAAGCCGAGTTACTTTAGTGCAATATTTTGGCGAGAAAAGACGAAAATATTGCCAGCTGTAATATATTCCCTTGTGTATTTGAGACAATCACCCCCTTATCTCGTCACGTGAAATTTTTTTCCTTTGTGCCTCAACATATTTGCCGCCGCTTGCGAAAACTCTTTGAAGTTTGCCGGCTAGCCAAACCATCCTATTTTATTAACTGTGATAAAACCTAATTGTTAATTGTAAAAATTTGTCAAAACCTAATTAAAAACCTAAAAGACTCAAAGTATGGCATATTAAAATATATATTTCGCTGATTCTCAGCCTCTTCAGTTTGACGCCATATTAAAAAAAGAAGTTAGTACTTCATGTACTCTGACTCAACGAGTTCCTTCATACCCAATTACTTCATGTAAGCACTGTGAAAACACTCATTCAATCAGAAGGTTGGATTAGGAATACGAAAAGGTTCCACTCAGTTTAAGAATTAATCAATAATTGGTCCCTTTCAGGGACCGCAGTGTCCCTTTCCACCCGTTGTGCATACTAAACAATCCATTCTCCTACACTGCCGCTCCTACACTGCGGCTCCTTCAATGGATTTGATCTTTGCAGCATTTTCTTCAAACTCTCACCCGCTTTCTCAACCACTCTAACTTTGAACCTCTGACTCCGGACCTCCCGTTGATACTCTTTCTGTAACTGTGACCTTGGCGTGGCCGGCACAAAGATTACCGACTCACTACCGTTCTTATACCAATTAACTTTCTTTCTGGCACTCTCCTGCTCCCGCTCTTCTCTGTTCCTACCCTTGGATCGATACATCGGCCTTTCTCACCCCCTTCGTCCAGCTTCTTGCATCGCTCTATATGCTTTAAGGGCAGATCAATAACCTCGTACCTGAATTTCTTGGTGTACCCAGATAACTGCATTCGTAGCACAACCTCATCAACATGTTTGACAACGACCTCCAACGGTACCAACCTACCACAGTGTAACATCACCCTTAACACCTCCTGTGTTAACACAGTTCTCTTTACAGTCCAGGGTGACACAGAGCTTGCATTTACGACCACCTTGGATGCCATAATCTTACTGTAAAAAATGTTCTTCTTTCCCCTCACCACCGTACCCCCGTCCCGCCGCCAACTTTTTTTGGGGGGAAATAGGGCCCCACTGAAAAGATTTGACGGGGGCCTCACGAAGTTCCATTACGCCACTGCTTGACAACTGATTGAAAACAATACATGAATGAGCAGGCGACAAAAAAACAAAAATTGGCTTCGAAAAAAACAAACATGCCGTCCCAGATTAAAACCCGGAAATGATTAGCGTCATGTCTTCTAAATCTATCTAATATAATATACCGGAGACAGGCACGCATTTCGTCTGTGAACAAGATATTCTTCCACTGTTGCCTAGTCCATCGTGAATGTGCCTTTGCCCATCGCAAACGAGCTTCTCAGTGCCGTATCATCAAAACTGACTTTTTAACCAAACAACTAGCATAGAGCCCAGCACTGTGTAAACGATTTCTGATCGTCTGCACACTATAACCCTTTGTTGATTCGCAGCGCGAAGCCCAGTCTGGATCTCTAGTCTTGCAAATGAATGAAAACTTTAAAAACTGAAAAATGTTAAGCTCGTCGTGTAAAACGCTTGTGCTGTTACCTGTTGATGTCCTTCGCCGTAACGTCCGACTATTACTCATTTGTTTTTAAATTATTCTGATGCATTTACTTTTTTTTGTTCACTATGCACTTGAGAATAGGGCGATGAAAGGATTTGACCAAATGGCACTTCTGAGTGTAAAGTTTATACCGTACTGTAGTTGAGAACCAAACACCAGGTAGCTTAAATCAGGGCCATACCTAGACACGATAATTGGGGTGGGGGTGCATATTCATATATTCGTGTTCTGCGAATATATGAATATCCACCCCCACCCCCAATCTGAAAGCGATTGTTTTTACGGTATGTGAACATGAATATATGAATATACACACCCAATTATCGCGGCTAGTTACGGCCCTGGCTTAAATGCTTTGATTTTGGCAGGGAGAACTTTTTTGACATCTTTATGAGTATCAGGCACATAAAAAGATGATAAAACCAGAAAGATAGATACAGGATAAAAAAGACAATAAATTTGGAGATGCCCAAAATACGTGGCAATCATTTTGGCGGACACGTTTGTTATATCACTTCTCAAATAGTCTTGTATAATTAAAGACAAAAGGTTCAAAAAAATTTTCTGGAAAAACACCACTAAAATTAATATTCAAAAAGTTTTCCCGACAAATACCTGTTGAATCACGTCTAAAACATATTTTTCGGACCAATACCCTTAAAATTAAAAGGATATTTCAATATAATTAAATTTAGTTTGTCTTTATATTTGAAAGAACATTGAAAATTATATATAGACTTCCTGTAATATTATTCCGTATCTTGCTTGGTTTTCGAAATAAATCTACTTATTTTTCTCAAAAGATGCGTGCATCCAGCCATCTTGAATGTTCGATATGCATACGTCACAAGTAAGGTAAAAAGCGAACTTTTTATCTTGCAAACCACATGTCATTATCAATATGAAACTCGATTTTCCGAAGTCTTTTTAGTACTCAATTAACTCGCAACATTTTAAGAAACTTTTCAAAGAAATTTAGTCTCACATGAAGAAGTTTTAACAAATTTATCCTGCTTGTGACGTCATGAAAAACTCAGTTAATTAGGTCAATTACAATTCCAAGATGGCGGACTGCACACTGTTTTTTGGTCAAAATATTTCCGGGCCCTGATTAATTGATGAAATAGACCCTGATTATTGAAACTGGCCCTCATTAATTGGTGAATATATACATTGGAAGAAGATTGTAAAATATAGAATAAATTTCAGACAGTTTTTTCCCATGGCTGACAATCGTGAGTATATTGTTTTCTCTCAAACAGAAAATTTCCTTTAAGTTACGTACCGAAGCACATGCACCGGAAGCACGTAAACGAACGTAAAGCCTCATTACTGAACGAAACAATCGTCAAAACTACAGTTCCCTATATTGGCTGACAGCGCTCAATCCGTTCTCAACCGTAGAATAGCGAACTCATATTGGTCAAAGGTTTGGCATAATTTATTCGCACGAAAGTTGGCAGTGTGTTGATGATTTACATGTGATTGCTTACGTAGGGAACGTAAACGTGAAACTTGCATGCATGCATGAGATGTTATAACTCCGGATGTCTCACCAGTGCCGTAGCCAGGACGATAATTGGGGGGGGGGAGGAGAAATATTCATATATTCGTGTTCACATACCATAAATACAATTGATTTCAAAAGAAATTAATAGAGCTGAACAGGAATATATGAATATTTGCCCCCCCCCCCC